TAGCCATAAACTTGGCAAGAGCTGGTCGGCCAAGGATGGCGTGGTACGCCGTGTTAAAGTTAGCGACAAGCAAGTTGACATAGTCAACACGGAAGTGCTTCGCGGTGTCGAACTAGACCGGCAATATAATCTATCCCAAGGGGAGGGATGCCTTCCCAAGAATGATTCCCTAGAATAGAGAGTCCATGGGGGTGAAGTCTTCCTTCTTGAGGCCTAGCTCCTCTAGAGATTCGGCAAAAAGAATGTTGAGGGTGCTCTTTCCATTGATGAGGACCTTCTAGAAGCGCACGTCCTTGATTATGGGATCCAGGACAAGTGGGAAACGGCCTGGGTATGCGATGTCCGACCACTAATCGGCCCTGGAGAAGGTGATCGGGTGCTCCGACTAGTCGAGATACTTAAGATTAGAGATGGGGCCGTCATATGTAGCGACCGACATGACGCATTGGGCTATGAGCTTCTGCTCTCGCTTGTCTTCAGAGACAACCCTCCCACCAAAGATGGTAGCAATGGTCTTAGTGGGATCCTGGTATGTAGGGCCCTTGTTCTTGCCTCACTCTCCACCTTGACCATCTTCGGTCTCATCATCATTGCGTCGCTGCTTCTTTGATGGTTCTCCCCCAAGCACAGTCTTCAGGCCCCTGCACTCCCGCATGGTGTGCTTGGCATCCTTGTGGATAGGGCATGGGCCATCCAGTAGCTTCCCAAAATCTGCGTCGTAGGTGCGCTTGACATGGGTGTCGATGGTGTTTATGGAGGTATCAGGTCGGCGACGGTGGCTTTGTCTGCCTCTTGAGCTCTCTAGACGATCATCACACCAGGGGTCATAGTCATCGTGACGGTGATCACGGTCGTCACGATGGTCATGACCATCATGGCGGCGATCGTGATCGTTGTAACGTCTGTCTTCGCAATGAGCGGAGTGAGCATCCCGTTCTGCTTCTTCGGCTTTGACGTATCCATTCACCGTTTGTATCAGCTCGCCGATGGTGGTGGGGCCTCTTGCAGTATAGCTTGCCGTGAAGCTGCTCGTGTTGGAGCCCTTTGGTGAAGGCAGCAATGGTCTCAGCATCGGTGATGTTGGGGATGGAGTTTCTTGTCTCTGAGAAGCACCTAATGAAGTTGCGTAGAGATTCCCCGGAGGACTGATGAAGCTTTTCCAAGTCATACTTTTTGCCGGGCTGCTCGCATGTAGCCATGTAGTTGTCAGTTAAGACTTTCTTGAGGTCGTCCCAAGATCGGATGGAGTTCTCCTGCAAGCTAAGGAGCTAATTATTTGTAGACTGGTTAAGCATGACAGGAAGGTAGTTTGCCATGACGTCCTCGTCTCTGCCCGCGGCTTTTATGGCGATCTCATATAGAGTTAGCCACTGAGCGGGGTTGGCCTTTTCATCGTAGGTATTGACACCAGTGACCTTGAAGCCCACCGGCCACCGGATGGCTTAGAGCCTCTCCGTAAAGGGGTGAAGTCCTGATGTGCTGGCGGGGAGTGGTGCTTGGCGAGCAGCGAATCCTTTGTGTTCAGCGTCGAATCACAGGCGACGCTCCATCTCTGCTTCATAGCGTGCAGACCTACTATTTTTGATGCGGCCACGGGCAACCGCACTGGCGTTAAGGTGATAGCGAAGGTCGTGAGGAGTGGGTTGATTGACCTCCTGGTTGCGATTGTCGCCCCGACCTCCCTAGGGACGTGGTGGGCAGGCGTCTTGGCATGAATAGGCTTCATAGTTGCCCCTGGATCCTCTATAGAGGTAGGGGCCTCTAGCCTGAGGTCGGGGGGCATCGGCACCATGATGTTGGCCTCCTCTGTCGTAGCGGGAGCAGCGGCTATGAGGCAACACGGTGGAGTAAGATGGTGCATCGTTTTAGAACTCATTAACCTGGACTTGTGCAGCTATGATGTGCGCACGAACATTCTCGACCTCTAGAGTTTGAGGGAGTTTGTCGAGCTCGTTGAAAGTGACAGCGAGATTGGTGCTTGGAGTCTAATAGACTGGCTAGTCACCAACCATGTCAAATGCCTCTTCTAGATTGTGTTGATGGCAGGGCGAGCCGCGACCATCTTCGCTAGCCTCAGGGGCCGCTTCTGCATCTCAGCGACGTTGGCGATTGGCATTCTTCGCTAGACGAGCATTGCGCTCTTCAGCGGTTTCACCCTCCTTGGTAACACTATGCATGGCTGACGTGGAAAATCATGCCCTCGAACCCCGGAGGGAAAGTAGGGCAGCTCGATAGGGTCCTGGTCGAGCCCTCGAAAGAATCATCGGGGCTTTCATCCAACACGTGGTGAAGAGATTCGGTCGGAAGAGGGGAATATTCCGAGAGCTGACGAATGGCCACCATGTTGACCACGGGCGCAGCCTGACCGGAGTCAGTTGGGTCGATCACATAGAGGTCGGTGACGTGATTGCGCTCGACGTGGTCGGCAAAGAGGTGGTGGATGGCGTTCTGATACGTAGATCCTGCACCCTCCAGCTCGAAGGGGTAGGGCCTCAGCGGGTTCTCCATCGGGGCTTCATAGTCATCCAAGCGAAGGCCGGTGGCAGGAAGTGGTCGGTGCCGCACCGTGCGCCCTTCTGTAGTAGCCATGATCACCAGATTGGAATCTATCCGCCTTGCGCGGTGTGGCTGAGCAGGTCACTCGGTCGCTGTGGCTTGGTGATCTTGGAGTGCAGGGAAATCATCGCTCGCTCTAGATCGATCTAGGACCGAATCTACGAGGAGCTGGCATTCTGTTAGGCGATCTGTGACCCGATCGATGGATGCGATCAGGTCGTCAGTGCTGATGGATCTCCTGATCCAACGACATGGTGCCGGGATGGGAGATGTCATTACTAGTGTTAGCGCGATCGGCGTAGGGTGGTCCTGCACCGCCTCCACGATCTCCCTGTTGCTGTCGGGGTCGATGACCCAAGTCATTGATTCGACCATGAAGATCTGGCCTGGCTCGAGGGGGCCATGGAGCTTGGGAAGGTGACCATCTGGTTCGCCATGGATTCAGCACACACACTCTACCTGGTGCACCACTGTTCGACGAAATCTGGTCAGCAGTCTACCGAGGGATATGCCCACGGTAGTAGATGAATCGGTGGAGGTGCGCGTGAGGAAACTGGATGGTGAGACAGAACGCCAGAGATAACGATTAGACAGGTTCGAGCCATCGGCTTGACGTAATGTCCTACGCCCTGTGTCTTTGTGGATTGGATTGCATGTGCTAAGATGAAAACGATGGGGTCCCTACCCGCCTTATATAGCTTGGGGTAGGATTACAGATCCGTTATTTTCATTTTGATCGGTTTACAAGATAGGAAGTTATAGATCGTACAACATCTATCATATCCGAGCAGATTTCGTAAATCACCGAGGATCTTCACGTTGCCTTGTGAAGCACGTCGTCCTGCGACATACTTCGTGTGGCGTTGTTTTGAAAGCTAGGCCTCGACCAATAGCGCGACCCGTGCGTAGTCTTATGGGTTGGGCCTCCCCTAGCGGCTCGGCCCATGTGGAGCCTTGTGGGTACCGGGGGTCATACCCCACAACCGCTGAAGAAGAAACCTTGAGGCTTCAAAAAAAACCTCAACTATGACAAATAATTTTTACCCCTTAAGGTTGTATAACTTTGTTATGCTTATCAAATTGGACTCCATTCTCCCAGTTACTTCCGATCTTGCAAAGAAAATGTTACGTTTACTATAAACAAGAGTTCAACTTTGTTCTGCCTCGTAGTTTGCTGCATCATTGCATACCTACCAAAGCGTAGCATTTTCGATCAGTTTTTTTGGCTGCATCCACATTATATATGTATTTTTTCAGACACGTTGTTTATTGTTATTTCTTCAAAAAATATTATTAATTCCTCTTATGACGGAATCTTTTATAAGCATAGCCTGTGCATTCCCACTAGTTTTACAAAAAGAGAAGAAAAGAGAAGAAAAAATGTAGTGAACATATGTTGCAAACAAATATTGTTAGGTGAAGGCACAAAATAAGGAACCAAGTTTAATGTAATCAAGAGTGTTCATCGGTACAAAAAGTGACTATAGCCCCGATTTTTCTACCAGGACTACGGATCAGGGACTAAAGGGCATGATCCTTGGATCCCGGTTGCCCTGACCGGGACTAAAGGGTCTGCAAGGCTTTTAAAAATTGGCACAAGCCTTACACCCTTGTGATTCATGGGACTCGAATTCAAGACCTCATGCATTGTCTCACACGTAGCTTTTCACCGCACCTACACAGCACATGTGACCTTGGATGTGATGATTTCCTTTTGAACTAACCCGTGGATGTTACTAACCGGGACTAATGTCTTACGGCTCTTTAGTCCGGGTTGGTAACACCAATCGAACTAATGTAGAACCTTTAGTCCTGGTTGGTTCTACTAATCCGGACTAAATTAAAGGTCCTCCGACGCCCATAAAACTTGGACCCAGGACTAATAATAATGCTCACATTAGTCCTAAGCCGTACTCTAGTCGGGACTAATGTGCTGAACCGAAGATATATTCTCTACTGGTGGTTACACACAATTCTCTTAGGTGCACATAATAAAGTAAACATGTGTAAGAAGTATTTAACCACCACACTGCTGGAAAAGCATATAATTATTCCTGGTGATCATGTGATGCAATATATATATATATATATATATATATATATATATATATATATATATATATATATATATATAATAACTAATAATAGACCTTGTTTGGATTTTAACCTAGCTAAAAATTAGTTGTCTTGGTGGGAACCACATACAACTCTTTTTTAGCTGCTGGATCGTTGGTAGAACACTAGCTAAGCTAGCTACATTATTGGCTGAGGATCCAATGCGGGATCGGAGATGCAAACATGGCCTAACATATAAACGATCTGGTGGGTGATAAGTGCGTGCTGGCGTGACCGAACAAACACAGATTTGGGTAAAGTGATACGTGCTTATTGGTGGCGAGACTGAACAAAGGAGCTATGACAAACAAAGTGACGTACGTACGACTCTACACGGCCATTTCCGAACTTGCCACAAGAATGCCATCGCTGTCGGCGTAGAGCCAATCGCCGTCGTAGACCATGGTTCCTGCAATGCTCACGGGGACGTGCTTCTCGCCGACGCCCTTCTTGGCTGGCCTCACAGGGCAGCAGTTGAGAGCTCGGACGCCAATGTCGCAGAGGTTGATATCGTCGACGTCCCTGACGCAGCCGTAGACAACAATGCCGACCCACCCATTGTTCTGCGCCTTCTTCGAGAGGTTGCCGCCGACGACGGCCCTCCGCAAGCTCCCGCAGCCGTCGATCACGAGGACCTTACCATGGCCTTTCTGCTCGAGGAACTCGTGGATCAGGATGTTGTCCTCGACAGTCTTGACTGTCACCACACGGCCAGAGAAAGCCTTGCTCCTTCCGTACATCTGGAAGACAAGCCGGGAGAACGGTGTTAGAACTGACAGGTGCAGATCTAACGGATAAAATTCAACTTAGATAAAGAACTTGTTAATTTATCTTGTCAAGCATAGTCGCGGCCATGGCGCCGCCAACGAGGTAGCAGCGACGTGGCCTCGAGTGTCGGAATTGGGGTAGCCGACACGCCGGCCAGGGTGTCGAAGGTGGTGGCACTTCTCGTCGTTGTCAACGTTCTCTCGATCGGTAGGGTTAGGACCATGGTGGGGTTGTGGCGGTTACCATGAATCTCCTATCCTGAGTCCTGGCCCCCACCTTCCTTTTATAACGCTGCGCGACGGGGTCCACCAACCATGGGTTGGTTTGTGCGCCCCCAATCAGGGCGTAAGATTAGGGCCTAGCCCCGGTCGTTAGACCGGGCTGGCTGAGATCAATCCTAACAATGTCTCCCTTGATCTCACCTTTTTTTCTTGAACTTTAGACTTAAACTTAACACTTAACTTGGTACCCATTTCGTTATACATGACAGTTAGTACAGTCAGATTAACAGCTACAATACACCTTTCTATTTTGAAACAGATCTTTAACTTATTCTAGCCCTTACTGTCCAGAAATCATAGGCTTTCCCGTAAACCCATATCGACTGTGTGTTCTCTAAACGCACTGGGTGGTAAGCCTTTGAGAAGCGAATCCACAAGTACTTGCTTGGTACTTATACGCTCAAATGCTTTCAAAATGGTTCTGTATTTTCTCCTTTACATCATATAACTTAATGTCAATGTGTTTAGCAGCACACTTGACCTGTTGCCATTGGAGTGAATTACTTTAAATGGTTATTGCTATTGTCTACCATTGTTAATTCCAGATACAAAATCCCTTAACCACTTTTGCCTGTCCCTGAAGCCTCATAATAAGCTATACTATGGGTATGCATCATTGATGATAGCACAACTATTTCTTTGTAGCTTTTTCACAATAAAACTCCAACTACGAGTGTTAATAACCACTATGGATTTCTCTACACATCTCGTCGAAGTTTAACATTTGTACCCATAAATATTTGAGAGTACTTGTTCTTCCTTACTCAGCATGAGGCCTTTAATACTTTGCAAAACTGCAAGACATTCTTAATTCCATTCCAATGATCTATATCTGGACTGAACTTTTACCAAAACATCCCGGATACGTGAACTACATCAGGGTAAGTTCGTACTTGTGCACTCATAAAGCTTCCAACAGCCGAAGCATATGGAACCATATTCATTTGATAGATCTCATTTCGGTTCCTAGAACACTTAAAGTTTTCAAATCTATTACCCTTAACTATAGGAGCAGGCGTAGTTTTACTCGCATGCATACTTTATTTCTTTAGAATCTTTTCTAAGTATGCCTTTGCGATAGTCCTAATACCCCTTTTTCTTTTATCTCGGTGAATTTCAATTGCTAGAACGAATGATGCTTCACCGAGATCATTCATATTGAAACTTGGAGACAAGAACTTCTTCTTCTCCAATAGCATATTAACATCACTACTAGCGAGTAGGATGTCATCTATACACAGGATGCGGAAAAAGAATTTTTCATTCTTGAACTTTGCATAAAAGCTATTATCCTTCCCATTTGAAGGGACCGTTACGCCTAAGAGGAGGGGTGAATTAGGCAACTTAAAATTCTACTTCTAGACTATGGTCTCTTTTTCTACCCTTAGCAAAATCTATGCAAAAGATAAACTATCTAAATGTGCAACTACGGTTTTACTAGTGTGTTGCTATCTCTATTACAAAAGTAATAATGTAATCAATGTAAATGCGGAAGCTAAAGAGCAAGGTAGAGATATGCAAACTCCCGTCGATGACTCCGGTATTTTTACCGTAGTATCGAGAAGCACGTAAGCTTCCCCCCTAGTCCTCGTTGGAGCCCCTCGCAAGAATCCCCCGCAAGGGCCAAGCTCCTGGTCGGGTAACTCCGTGGATAGCCTCGGGCCTTCCCCACGCGCAAGTGGGTCTTCGACGTGCCCTCTGGCAAGCCTCTCCCGGATGCTCCCCGCTGTCTTCGCTTCCGAAACGCCGCGGGCCTTGTTCCCTCCGGTACACGGTGGCAGCCACACCACAAACGCGGTTGGTGTGATCTCGCAAGACTACAAGCCCCTCCGATATACAACAATGATGCACGCAAGCACCAGGTAGTAAGAGGTATGCAAACCTCACTAAACACTAGGCCTAAACCTAGAGCAAGCGCATAAGCAGTGGTCTAATCAACCTAAGCACTTCGCAAAACACCTACGCTAATCACCTAATGAATTACTAAGCACTATGCAAGTGGATATCATTAAAATAGTGTATCAACACTCTTGATATGTTTCCTCAGCTCCACCCACCTCATTTCGCCGGTTGGGGTTATATTTATAAGCCCCACTGAGAAAGTAGTCCTTGGGGACAAAATCCCGCTTTTCTGCTACTGACCGGACGCTGAGCACGTCCTGACCGGACGTGTCTGGTCGTCCCGACCGTTGGAGCCACGATCAACTGATCGGACACTGCCAGCGTCCAGTCACCTGCCACAGGACGCGTCCGGTCACAGTATCGCCGCTCTGGAACCTCTCTGTACTCGACCGGACTATGCTGTCCTGCGTCCGGTCGATTTTGCCACCAACATCCGGTCCAGCGTCCGGTCGCTGCTACTGATGCCTATTGCCGAGCCTCTTGATCGGAGCGTCTGGTTGCTTTTGGCCAGCGTCCGGTTCAGCATTCGGTCACTTCTGTGAGCTCGTTTCTTCGCGCTCTTGCGTATGGCTTGGTTCCTATCTTTGTGCTTGGACTTTGCTTGGTATCTTGGTTTTACTCTTGTGCTTCGAAGGTCTTGCTTATGGTGTTGATCATCGGATCATCACATCGCCTTTGTCCAAGTCACGTCTTGCACCCTATTGAACTACAAAACAATCACTTACAAATTCGTTAGTCCAATTTAGTTGTGTTGGTCATCAAACACCAAAATCCAAAGTAAATAGGCCTAGGGTACATTTTCTTTATAATCTTCCCCTTTTTGGTGATTGATGACAACACGACCAAAGCAAGCAAATAACATAATTTTGAAATTTAAAACCTACATACTTGCTAGGATGCAATGCAAGGGACAAGGTTATATAATGCTAAAAGATACTACTTGTAAAACTAAAGGATACCACATAGAAACTTATCTTGCCCTTGCAAATGTCCCCATGTGGCATTATGGATTTAAGCCTTGCTTCCTACAAATTCTCCCCATTACATAGACTAATCCATAATCCACTTTCCTCCCTTTCTCGAAACATTGCCACTTGTAGACCATTACTACTTGTAAATTATTATGATCTAGCTTTTGGTCATACAAAGTGATGCTTGCTTTTGGTCCTCTAAATTCTCCCCCTTTGGAATCAAACACCAAAAAGGAAGACATTAAAATCACAAGGGAGGGTCAAACTTTGTGAACCTTTGTATGTGGAGTGGAATAGGTCACAAAATTTGACTCTCACATTACATAGACTAAGATCCCCCTAAATATATGCATACATATGATGAAGAATGAAGTTTATGCATAATGGGCAAAATATTGCTCAAGGGAGTTTAATCTATATAATGCATGGAGAAAGCATATAATTATCAAATTGAAATCAACAAGATGATATCGGTTTAGAAATACCACATGTAGAAACTAATTTGATTTACACCACTTTGCAATAGGTGGTGGATATTTTAAGTATGATGCTTAACTCTGGGGACTCTATTTTCCTTGCAATGAGACTACTACACACATGATAAGCTTGAAAAGGTGTTAGTCTCAAGGCATCCAACTAGTAGAGTAACCTCCCCCTAAATTTGTGCATACAAGTGTGGAATACTTGAAGAGGACATGCACATTGATTTTAGAATCAATAATACCACTTGAAAGATGACATCACATGAATGTGAGAATCATTTTCGAAGGTGATATTCGGGAGAAATTATCTACAATTTGGACTTTGGCACATATTAGATGAACAATCGAAAGATAAGCTATGTGTCGTGCTCCTAAACAATTTTAAACCATGTAGGTTTACTACAAGGGTTAAGAATGAAACCGAGCAAGCCTACCATAAGATATACCTAGTGTATGCATGATAAAAGATATCAATATGCAAATTCAAACATAGGCATGAAAAGTAACTAGATGCTTAAAGATACCAATTTGTAAGAAATACCACTTGTAGGAAATGCAAATTGATACTACTTGAAGGAAATACCAATTGAAAGTAATAACATCTAGTTACCTAATATGGAAAGGGGAATTTGGGTCTATAGTATTCACTAACCCACTTGGCAATGACTTTATCCATCATGATGCACCCCATGAAATGCACCCATACTTTGCCAAGTCTCCAAATTCCCCGAATTCCATCGGACTTCTCACTTCCCTTTTAGAATCCAAACCTTCTTGATGCTCTTCATGTTGGAAATGATTTCCTTTGGCACCCAAAAGCATTTGACCCCATTGATGGCTTGCTTGTTCACCTTGATGGCCACCACCTTGTCATTTTTCTTCTTCTTTAACAAGTATGGTGTAGAGGCCTTCTTGTCCACCTTGTTGGTGTAGGTGTTGGAGAACTTGCTTGTTTGCTTTTTCTCTTTCTTCTTTGCTCCTCCCCCATTCTTCACCTTGCACTCATAGGACTTGTGGCCTTCCTTGTGGCACACGTAGCAAACCACGGTTTGTCCTTCATCAAGCTTCTTCACTCCCTTGATGGTGTTATCTTGATGAAGTTGGCCTTGCTTCACCTTGCCTTTCACTTGTGTCAAGTCCTTGGTGAGGCGAGCCACTTCTTGCTTGAGTTGCTCATTCTCCATTACAACCTCTTGTGTGCAAGTATCTACAACAACTTTCTCAACATAAACTTAGTTGCACAAGGGTGAATCCAAATATAAATCATTGCAAGAAGTAGAGGCATCCTTTTTAGGCATGTTAAAGGTAGAACTTTTCTTTTTAGATGCCTTGGTGA